GCTCATAAGAAAAGCTTAACCCCAAATTTGCGAACTAAGGTAATAACTCATTAAAAAAAAAAATTTGGATTTCAGTTTTAGTAAAAACTTGTGTAAAATAAAAATGCTGGGGGCATTGCCATTTACAATTTATCATTAAGTTGATGCTCTAGGACCAAATATTTAAAGAGTAGATGGCGCTTAAGTTCCCAAAAACCACATACTTCCACACATACACCGGTTATTCGCTATATTTTGTATAGATGACCTTGTTTCATTTTTTGAGGAGAAATTTGTCGATTTGCCGTATCATCTTACCTTATGCGCATCAGTTCATAAGTGAAGGATTAAAAAAAAATTAAAACATAATATGCAGTGGGCATTCCCTCCTATATCACTTAGTAACAAAAAATTAAAAAAGTTTTTGTTTATCTGCATTATGCCACTGTTTATGATCAATTGGACTGAAATCTATGTCAATAGCTGATTTGAACTGTTAATTTTAGCTAAATTATGTCAATATCTATTTATTGGTTAATTTTATACACTTTTATACATTTTAATAAATAAAAAAATATTGTTTTCACTAAAAACTTTAAAATAATAATAAAAAAATATTTGTATTGCCATAAAATGTCTCATTTATAGCCTAGCGGCTCGTGGTCTTAAAAATTAATGCCACTTGCGAAATTTCCAAGAAAAAAACATTCGTATAAAAATCAAAAAATTTTTTTATCACGAGTGGTATTCGGCAAGACTATTTCACGAATATTTTTAACTGCTGATTCAATTTCTGTATGATTTGACCAAAACGCATATTTTTTAACATTTTAATTTTAAAATTAAAAACGTCAACAGTGACAATTATTTTTAGCATAGCCACCCATTGGTTGCTATGCAACTTGTATAAACGAGTGGTTTTTTCGTAAGTAATATCATAAGGGCATCTAATTTTTCCGAAAAAAATCAAAAAAACACGTTGCTAAGTAATATTTTAACAAAACGCATGAGTGCTGGTGGCAACAAAAATCCGAGTCGAAGAGGAGAAATTTTGCACCTGCACGAATGCATTTTGTTAAAAAATATTACTTAGCATTGTATTTTTTCGATTTTTTTCACAGGAAAAATTAGATGCCCGAATGGTATTTGACAAGACTATTTCATGAGTAACAGTTAACAATTAAAATATAAATTGAAATTTTTATTGACAACAGCTGTCAAGTTTTGCCGAGGGTAAATTCGAAAAAACTGCTGACAGGTGCTGTCATACAGTTTTTTCGTAAGTAATATCATAAGGGCATCTAATTTTTCCGAAAAAAATCGAAAAAACACGTTGCTAAGTAATATTTTAACAAAAAGCATGAGTGCTGGTGGCAACAAAAATCCGAGTCGAAGAGGAGGATTTTTGCACCTGCACGAATACATTTTGTTAAAAAATATTACTTAGCATTGTGTTTTTTCGATTTTTTTCACAGGAAAAATTAGATGCCCGAATGGTATTTGACAAGACTATTTCATGAGTAACAGTTAACAATTAAAATATAAATTGCAATTTTTGGTGACAACAGCTGTCAAGTTGTGCCGCGGGTAAACTCGAAAAAACTGCTGACAGGTGCTGTCACACAGTTTTTCCACCTAGAAACCATTTTTAATTCAAAATTGCGCGCTTGTGATTGGTGGAAATTAAGACGAGGGAAATAGTCGTAAGTAATATTATAAGGGCATCTAATTTTTCCGAAAAAAATCAAAAAAACACGTTGCTAAGTAATATTTTAACAAGAAGCATGAGTGCTGGTGGCAACAAAAATACGAGTCGAAGACGAGGATTTTTGCACCTGCACGAATGCATTTTGTTAAAAAGTATTACTTAGCATTGTGTTTTTTAGATTTTTTTCACAGGAAAAATTAGATGCCCGAATGGTATTTGACAAGACTATTTCATAAGTAACAGTTAACAATTAAAATTAAATTGCATGTTTTGGTGACAAGTGTCAAGTTTTGCCGCGGGTAAACTCGAAAAAACTGCTGACAGATGCTGTCATACAGTTTTTCCACCTTGAAACCATTTGTAATTCAAAATTGCGCGTTTGTGATTGGTGGAAATTAAGACGAGGGAAATAGTCACCTAAATAGTAGTTTTATCGCTGCAAAACTGAAAAAATCACTCGTTTTCTGAAATCTGATTATTCCATAAAGTAATGAGAGGAATAGTCGTATATAATACCACTAGTGGTAAAATTTTACCGAAAATTTTTTTGATTTTTATACGAATGTTTTTTTCTTGGAAATTTCGCAAGTGGCATTAATTTTATTTTTATTAATGCCACGAGCGAAATTTTCAAGGAGAAATCTTGAGTAAATAAAAATCAAAAATTTTTTCAGGGAAATTTTATCACGAGTGGTATTCGGCAAGACTATTTCACGAATATTTTTAACTTCTGATTTAATTTCTGTATGATTTTTTTGACCAAAACGCATACTCGTATAAACGAGTAAGTAATATCATAAGGGTATCTAATTTTTCCGAAAAAAATCAAAAAAACACGTTGCTAAGTAATATTTTATTTAACAAGAAGCATGAGTGCTGGTGACAACAAAAATCCGAGTCGAAGAGGAGGATTTTTGCACCTGCACGAATGCATTTTGTTCAAAAATATTACTTGGCATTGTGTTTTTTCACAGGAAAAATTAGATGCCCGAATGGTATTTGACAAGACTATTTCATGAGTAACAGTTAACAATTAAAATATAAATTGCAATTTTTGGTGACAACAGCTGTCAAGTTTTGCCGCGGGTAAACCGCTGACAGGTGCTGTCATACAGTTTTTTCACCTAGCAACCATTTGTAATACAAAATTGCGCGTTTGTGATTGGTGGAAATTAAGACGAGGGAAATAGTAGTTTTATCGCTGCAAAACTGAAAAAAACACTCGTTTTCTGAAATCTGATTGGTCCATAAAGTAATGAGTGGAATAGTCTTTGATAAATTGATCACTACATTTCTTATTTTCAAAAATTTCTTCTAAAACCATTTTTAATAAAAATAAAATAAAAAAACAACAAAAATTTAGACTTAACCTTATTTAAGTAGGATACCGCAAAGTTGTTTAAGCTTATTTTATGAGCCCGAAACAATTCATGCAAAAAATGACTAATATAAATTTTTCCAAATTTTTTTACAGATTGCCTGTACTATATATTTAATAAAACATTGTAAATTGTTTTATTTTAACTTAAAATTTTATTTAAATGTATTCAAAGCTACTAATACCAATAAATTAAAACCTAAAATATGACACGTTACTATAAAATAAAATAATGTTGTTTGGTAAAATGTTAGTAATGATTGTTATAACCCTAATATAATATTACAGTTTTTCTGGTTATCAGAGCTATTTGAGTTTTGGGTAACAGTTTTCTTTGTACGAGTATAGTGGGAAACAAAATTATAGTTTTGTTATAACAATTTTAATAGTATATTTATAAACGGATATGTCATAAGACATTATTTTCTTGCACGAGGGCAAGTTTACAACACGAGCAACGAGGGAACGAATTTTGTAATCTACGAGTACGAGATAAGTTCTTTATAACATTTTTTCTATTGGCCAAGTATAATTTATAAATTAAAATTTGTAATGCTTCAACTAAAAATTATAGAAATATTGGCCAATGAACTGTAAAAATATTTAAAACTAATGTAAACATGAATAACAATTTCCAATAAAAAACTACATTTACTTACCACCCAAATAAAATACCAGTAGACATGAGTTAAATTTTTAGAATAAGACTAAAGGAAAACAATGTGTTAAAAAGATATTTCTATTTAAGTAGGGTTTTGTATACTTTAGAAGTCTTAATATATTTTATTATATTCTTGCATATTTTTGTAGTAATAGACAAGTTATGTTAAAACATAAATATCTTTACATAGGTACCTTTACCGTTTTTTTAAACCGGTAAAATATTCTCTTATACCTAAGGGCTCGTCCAGAAAGTCCGTCTGACTTTTTACGGTATTTCAGACCCCTCCTATGTCACCCATAATAGCATAATTATATATAGCATACGATGTCACAGTCTTGACCTCCTCCCCCTTAAACGTGTTCCGTACTTAGAAATAATTTAAAAGAAGTTTTTATGCATTATTTAATTGTTGGTCCGGTAAAAAACTTGTTCCGGATGTCCATGACTTTTTTTAAGAGTATCCTGCTCATATTTATTTTTGCTTAGTCAACACAGGAATGCTAACAAAAAATAAAATAAAATAATTTATTATTTATAAAATTCCTATTCTATAAAACTTGACCAAACAAACTATACTTTAATTTATAAATATTAAAAAGTACGTACTTACTTTTATTTTATTAATTTATGTTTATTAAATTGCAAGTAAAAGGCTTATATTTTTTATTTTACATTTAATAGCTGTAGATATACATACTGGAAATTAAATGAATCTAAACACTATAGTGTTATTATAATAAGGAAATGGAAAAATAATATTCTGAATTACTTAATCTTATATTAAAATCTATACATCTTATGCAATACATTGTGTAACATGTAAAAAAACTATACATGGTGCACCAAGTATCCTTCTATGTATGGGTATCTTTTTTATTTAAACAGTTACAGGGTGGGTTAAATTATTTACAGGTGTATTAAAATGGCATTTAAAAAAAGCGGTTCTAAAATAATTTAAAAAAAGTTAAAAACATCAAAACCAAAAACTTTGTTATTACTTGAAATTTAAAATAAATGTATTTATCTATGTATATATATATATTTTTATCAAATTCGTGATATTTTGCTTCAACTAACGTCCACGACCTATTGAAAATTTGGTTAGATAGAAAAAACAACAATGTATTAAACAACATAAGGTATCAAAAATGTAAAAGATTATATTATAAAAAATATTATAAACATAAACATAAATAAAAAAGTTACAGAGGTGTTCACACTCAAAAGGAAACACACTATATAATAATATTACATTATTTATTTTTTTCCAGGTGGCTGCCTCATTAAAAATGTGCAAAATAACGAAAAAACCGAGCCTCGGATTCGCGGAAACGGCCGAAGCCGTTGTGAAACATGGCCCTAAACCAATAAGAGGATTTTCTCGATCTGCAAAGTAAGTTATTTATTTTAATATGAAATAATTTGTTTTGTTTTAAAAAAAGCACATTAACATAAAAATGCACTCAACATAATTAAGTAACGAATTTGAATGTCCAGTCATTACTGTGATTTAAAAGTTTTGAATTTCTAAAACATTAAAAAAAACCTTTTAAAAATATACTTTTGCCTAATAATTATTATAAATTTACCTAAAATTTTAGTACAAATATTTTAAAATTACCAAATACTAATTTTGTTTAAAGTTAATTTGGCGATAAACAAATGAATATTTTAAAAAAATTATAATTATATTTGACTAATTAAAATTAATAAATAAAACTATAAATTAATTTTTTTAATTTATCCTTTTTTTTTTGTTACTTGCGTAATTCAATTTAAACATAATTATTTAATTATAAAAAGTTTGATGCAATAGTAGCTTAAAATTAAAAATAAAAATTACTTATAATAAAGCATTTAAACAGTATGGGTATAAAATATTTTTTCTACTCCCACCTTTAAAACGCCCATTACCGTACATGTTTCCAAGTAACATTTTAAATACACATTGACAAGTTGTGGCTTTATGGCGCTTTAGTCACGGGCTGAAGTTAGCAACAGGTTTTTAGTCACGGGCTGAAGTTAGTTTTAAGTTAGTTGATAGTTGTCAAATGTCATTCAATCTTTAAATAAAGTACCTTTCTTGTAAAATAATACTAAATGTGAAAATTATTTTATTATCTCAATACAAAAATACAAAAGTATTAAATAGTTTCTCAACGCCAATATTTGAAAAGTTTATATGAACATTGTACTGACCTTTTAATTTCGCCGGCAGTAAACTATATCTTAAATTCGGGCAAGGACTCCACTGCAAAGTGCTCATAAAACATTTTCTTTACTTTCATTGTAAAAAACTGTTAATTTTCAAGAAATACATTTCGATTTATAACTTTTATAATCTGTGTTTATAAAATATAAAAATTTGACATTTGACGGTGAAACACAGATTTCCCTATTGTTTCATAGATGGCGCTCTATACAAATTTTTGATTTAAATCATTTTAAGATAATAATAAGTATTTGTCGTAGAAAAAGTATAGTATGCACCTTGTTTATAAACTTTTCTATACACACATTAAATTAAATTCGTGTATAAAATGGCGTTTATCAAACTTGATACATAATATACTATTTTTTAATTAATCCCGGCGCATTCGCCAAAACTGCAAATATGATAAATAACGTCATATTTTTAAATAAGAAAGAAGTACACGATCAATTTTTAAGAAAAAATAAACTATTTATGATGAAAACATAGCTAATGGCATGTTTTGTTCAAAAAATTATGACATTATGACCATTGTCCCAGATGCAAGTTGGTTTCCAAATCGGCTCATTTCCCGATTTAGCGATGTTTTGTGGCCCCCTCGCTCACCAAACTTGCCACAATGTGACTTTTTCACATGGGGCTATCTCAGAGCGCGTGTTTGCAACCACAGACCTAAAACACTGGAAGATTTGAAGGCAACGATATATAAATCGAGGAAATCGATCGCCCACTTCTGAAATGAACTTTTAAACATCTGTGAAAATGGTCACCACCACAATTACATAATTTTTTCAAACATAACATTCTTTAATGGCATATCATAACTTATGTTTTTATTAAAAATATTTTTTTTACAAAAAATGATTGTCTTTCTCATTTAAAAATATGTTTTTTTATTGGTCTTAAAACCAATTTTGGAAATTATTTTAGTCTTCTATTTTTTGGTAATTTTTGAGAGCCTGGAAATGAGTTATTATAATGTTAATATAATGAATTAATATATTTTTTAGTATTAACCAATGGCCCTCCAGAAAAAGCCGAATATTCTTGAATATACGCGTGACACAAATCCATTTAAATAGTAAAATGGTTTCGCTATACATTAACAAACCTTATAAATGAATATAAACTAAACTTAGGCTAAAATTAATATTATAATAGTTATTTATGTCTCAAGGCTAAGAAGTAAGTCTTTTTTATACTAAGCTCAAAGTTTGAATGCCAACGCGTAATAACATTGCTCTATATCTGAAAACTGATGTCACAACGGATTGACCGCAAAACCAGAGTTTTTCAAATTTGATGAATTTTAAATAATTAATACGGAGTGAAATTGACAATAATTAATAAAATGTTATTTTTAACTTAAAGCTTATGTTTTTAATTAAAAAATTACTTTTTTCTACAACCAAGCGAAAAGTACAAATTTTCGCTTCCAAAAGAAAGCGCAAAGTTGCACTTTTCCGAGGAGCGAGCGATTTTTTACTTTGTCCCTCGCCGAGCGACAAAGTTATTTTGTCGCTCGCTTAGTTAAAATGGAAACCATAATAAAGAAACGTTTAGTGTATTTGCGACTTTTGACATAAACGTCAAATTTGAGGTTAATAATTAATAATCATTAATTTTTACCAAACATTCTTATAGAAACAACGGTTGTAGAAAAAATCATGTGTGTAATTCGAGCGCAAAGTGACATTGCCGCTCTCGCGAGATAGCCACGCTCCGCTACTCGCCGCGCATCAAACTTCTCGCTCAGAGCGGCAATGTATCACTTTGCGCTCTTAATACACAAATAGCTAGTTTGCATATTTTTCAAAATTTTCTAAAATATTAAAGCATACATAAAATTTTAAATAAATTTTCAATTCTTATTTTTGGCTTATTTAAAAGCATACAGTTAAAACAGTTTTAGTTTTATGTATATTTTGTTTATTTATGCATACAAATCTCTCTCTTACACATACAAACATAAAAAAGTAATAAAATAATTTTGCCTTGTCAATCATAGTTAAAAGTAGGTTACAGTTAAGAAATTGCCAATTTTTTCATTTTTACCGTTCGAATTTTTATTATTAACCATTTACTTTCCATTACATTTTTGTTTTTGTTCATTATGACGCAGTAAAATATTTCAGCTAATATCGTTAAACCAAAAGCGTTGCATTAATATTATATAAACAATAAATATAATCTTTGTCTTTCATAACTTAAATTGAATATACTGTATTTCAACGTTGTATACAACGTCCTATAGGACAAAAATAACAAAAATAACTATTGCTGTTGTAACTCGTGAGTTTTTGTTAGAAATTGTCTGATTGTATATTGAGTGGATTAGTGTTCTGCGCATCAATAGTTACTGTTTTATTTTCTCCGTGTATGAGGTTTTGCAATGTATGAACATATTTTACAAAATGTTTACTTTAATATCTTTAATTAAAAAATATAGATAATCTTTATAGTTTTTTGATATAATTTGTTCAAAATTATAGACCACCTGATGTTTTAAGTTATATCCATATTTCAGCACAACTTCAATAAAATTCTTTAAACATTTTTATTAAACACCTTATCACGAATCTTCTTACTCATTTATACATTTATTTTCAAAGTAACAATTATTCAAAAGTGAAATATTTGATAACATCGTTATACTTAACATATTTTACCAATGAAATAAAAATTACAACATATGAATAAGAAAATTGCCATATCGATAAAAAACAAAACATAATATTACAAAAATATCAACAAAGCAACCAGACAATTTAACCAAAAGAACATAAAAAAGAATTCTTCAATTAATGGTTTTACCGAAATGCCTATTTTTTTAAAATAACAAGCCAAATTGCTGCAAATAAATTAATTTATGTTAAATATAAATATTGTTTTATTTTACTCCAAACTTTTATTACTTAAATTTAAGCTTAATTGTTAAGTTTAAACAATAAAAATAATTGTTCTGGGCATCAATAGTTACTGTTTTATTTTCTCCGTGTATGAGGTTTTGCAATGTATGAACATATTTTACAAAATGTTTACTTTAATATCTTTAATTAAAAAATATAGATAATCTTTATAGTTTTTTGATATAATTTGTTCAAAATTATAGACCACCTGATGTTTTAAGTTATATCCATATTTCAGCACAACTTCAATAAAATTCTTTAAACATTTTTATTAAACACCTTATCACGAATCTTCTTACTCATTTATACATTTATTTTCAAAGTAACAATTATTCAAAAGTGAAATATTTGATAACATCGTTATACTTAACATATTTTACCAATGAAATAAAAATTACAACATATGAATAAGAAAATTGCCATATCGATAAAAAACAAAACATAATATTACAAAAATATCAACAAAGCAACCAGACAATTTAACCAAAAGAACATAAAAAAGAATTCTTCAATTAATGGTTTTACCGAAATGCCTATTTTTTTAAAATAACAAGCTAAATTGCTGCAAATAAATTAATTTATGTTAAATATAAATATTGTTTTATTTTACTCCAAACTTTTATTACTTAAATTTAAGCTTAATTGTTAAGTTTAAACAATAAAAATAATTTCCAAACAATGTATAACAAACTAAGATACGATTACGTAAGAAATGTAAAATAATTGTATTTGGTTTACATACGCAAATATTTTAAAACGCAAATCAAATCTAATAAGGCAATTTATATTAAGACAACAATGCGACAATTAAGTTATACGCATCAAAATAAACCTTTTATTCCGTGTAAATATTAAAAACTATTATATAACGTTTATTTATCATAGGTACTTAAAAATGTATTAGTTTTTAATTGAAATAGAAGGCTAACATGTTTTTGGGCCAATAATTTGCAAGTCTAATTATTACAACAAAAACTGACTTAATTTTTGTATACATCCATATTCATACATATTTTTTGCCAGAAGGGACATGTACACAAATAGTGTTTTTTCTACTCATATTACGGAATATGACCATTCTAATATCACTTTTTAATGTGGAATTTTACATACACTCCTTTAAGTGGTACATAATAAATTATTGTATCACCGGATGACGGAATAAACACTGGTGGCGAGTTTATTTATTAACAACTTTTAACCGATTTAAACTCACTTTATCCAATTAAATTATTTTTCAAGAAAAGCGTATGTTTAATTAATTATAATTAT